ACCTCCTACTCTCTCAGCTGAGAAACTTGGCTCATATTTTATGGAAAAAAAAAAGTAAGGCCATTCTCTGTGCCCTCCCTCTTCTACCTTGTTCCTTATTTCCTGTCACTCAGATTCCTTCTGCCCCTGTCTCCTCCTTCACCTATCTTGCATGATGAGATGGCCCTACTCCTCACCAAGGCTAACCCTCCTTCTTGCACAAGTGATCCCATTCCATCCCATCTTTTCCAACAGGCTGCCCCCTCGCTCTGTCACCCCCATTCTTTCACTTATATTCAATTTCTCCCTTTCTACTGGCCCATTTCCTACTGCCTACAAACATGCCCATGTTTCCCCATCCTGAAATAATCCTTACTTCTATTCTTCCATCCCTGCTAATCATCATCCTATATCTCTTCTGCCTTCTGTAGCTAAACTTGAAGAGGCTGTCTACAGTAGTGCCCCACTTTCTCTCCTTTCATTCTCTCTTAGCCCCTTACAGTCTGGCTTCTGACCTTATTATTCCACCAGAACTGCTCTCTCAAAAGTTTCTGATGGTCTCTTAGTTGCCAAATCCAATGGCCTTTTCTGTCCTCATTCTCCTTGATTTCTCTGTAGCCTTTGACGTTGTTGATCACTCCTTTCTAGGTGTTTGGGTACCACTCTCCCCTGGTTTTCCTCTTACCTATCTGACTGGTCCTTCTCTTTTAATGAACGCCCCTCCAGATCATGCCCTCTAACTCTAGGTGTCCCTCACGACCCTGTCTCGGGTCCTTTTCTCTCCTCCCTCCAGTGCTCCTTAAACTGTGGGTCGTGACCCCATGTGGGGTCACAGAAAGTTTGACAACAGTAAAAAGTTTCTGAACATGCAACAACCAAAAATTAATTCAAAGTGAAACGTGTAATGAAATGAATCTGAGGTGTTTCTGGCAGCTGTCGCCCATGTTGCGCTGTGCAGCTTCATTGCAGCTTCGGTTCTAAACACAAAGCACGTACACTTTGCTGTGCGCATGCTCCCAGGCCGTGCAATGCCAATTAACCACAGCAGAGACTAGAAAAGGGGTTTGTTGAGTGGAAAAAACTTGAAGGAGCCCTGTTCTAAACTACTTCATTTGGTGATCTCATCAGCTGCTATGGATCTAATTACCATCTCTTTGCTGATGATTCTCTAACCTACCTTTCCTTCTCCGTTCTCTTTGCTGACCTGTAGTATTGCATCTCCAATTACCTTTCAGACATCTTGAACTGGATGTTCACTAGTCATATTCAGCATGTCCAAAACAGTGCTCATTTTCTTTCCCCCTAAACTCTCTTCCGCTCTTAACTTCCCTGTTACCTTAGGAGGGCAACACTACCCTCCTAGGCCCTCAGACTTACAACCTAGGAGTCATCCTGAATTCTTCACTGTCTCTCATCCCTATATCCAAGTTATTTCCAGGCTTGCCAATTTTGCCTTTGTGGTTTGTCCTGAATATGCCCCCTTCTCTGACACTGCCCCTAACTGATGCAGGCCCTCATCATCTCACTACTAGACTATTGCAATAGCTGCTGGAGGGTGGGGGTGGGGTTTGCCTGCCTCAGTCTCTCCCCACTCTAGTCCATCCTCCACTCTACCACTAAAAGGATTTTCCTAAAACATAGGTCCAAAGATGTTATCCCCTAACTCAGACTCTGGTGACTTCCTGTTACTTCCAGGATCAAATGCAAAATGCTGTGTTTGGCATTCAGAGTCTTTCATAATCTGCCCCCTGCTATCTTTCCAGTCTTCTTCTATCTTACTCCCCTCTGTGTACTCTTTGATCCATTGGCACTGACCTACTGGCTGTTCCATGAAGAAGACAATTCCGTCTTTTGGCTCTGGCTGTTCACTCTGGCTGTCTACCATGCCTGGTATGCTTTCCCTCCTCTTCTTTGGCAGTTGACCTCCTTGGCTTCCTTCAAGTCCCAACTCAGATCCCACCTTCTACAAGAAGCCTTCCCTAAACCCCTCTTAATTGTAGTACTTGCCAGACTCTTCTACTTTTCTTATTTATCTTATATTTAGCTTGTTTTGTGTATGTTTGCTTACGTGTTGTTTCCCCAGTTAGATTGTGAACTCCTTGAGGGGAGGAACTGTCTTTTACCTCTTTTTGTATCTTTAGATGCCTGATGTATAGTAGGCACTTAATGATTGTTTTGTTATTGATTGATTGATTTTAGTAAGGGTGTTGAGGGCCTGACCCAAGTTGAAGGCTATGTGAGATAAGATAGAAATGACAATATTTGGCAACATATTGGGTATATGAGTGAGTGAGGAGTCCATGAAGGGTAACTCATTTATTTAAAACTTCAGACAATAAAGTGGAAGGGCAAGGACTTTGGAGTTACAGGGTTGGGGTGGATAGAGATGAGAGATCTGGGAGTGTCAGCATCAGGAGGGAGTTTTCAGAAATTCTGAATCATAAGGACTGGGAAAAAATGAAGGTGGGAATTGGTTAGCCAAAGGTAAGAGGAGTACCATTTGACCACAGTTCGCATCCTCAAAGGCTAATGGCAGAAGGCATTGTCAGTTTATTCTCTCTCAAATAAACAGGAAAAAGAAGAGATTGAGCCTCAGTTTCTGGGTCAGTAAATAAGTGGTGACTAACCGAACTTATATTTAGTTTCAATTCCTTTGTGTTATCTCAGGATGGTACAGAGGCAGATGATAATGCTGTATTTGGAGTGTGTGCTTGCTTTTTGATAGGGCAGGTTTCTGAGTCCTTCATCCTAGGTAAGAGTCTGTTGGCAAGATGCCTTGTGTCATTTGTAGTTCAATAATAATAATTTTAATATTAACAATAATATATAATTTCTAGATATCTTAGATTGCATAACACATAATATTAATAATGTTATCAAATATATTAATAATGACAAGTAGAATTTCTATAGCACTTTAAGCTTTTCAAAGCACACTCTACACTGGTTTTCTCATGTCAAGACTAGGTGGAGGGAGAAGTGGTGCATGATTTTTTTGTTTGCAGATGATTGTGCACTGAATGCAGCCCAAGGCTGAGATGCAGCAATGTGTGAATCAGTTCTCCGCTGCTTGTGCTGATTTTAGCCTGATAATTAGCGAGAAAACACAGGTAATTTCACCAGCCGTCACCACACTGTCCATATGTGGAACCACCAATTAAAGCAAATGGAAAAGTTTTGAATCCTGGGGACAAGGTCACTTACTTTGACAGTATACTTTCCAGGGATGTCCACATAGATGATGAAGTTGACACAACGCATTGCCAGAGCTAGCTCAGCTCCGAAGGAAAGTGTGGGAGAGAAGAGATGTTACTCTGTCTGCCAAACTGAGGGTCTTAGAGCTGTTGTGCTGACCTCATTGTTGTGTGCTTGTGAAACCTGGATAGTCCCGAGCAGCGCCTGCCAGGAAGTGGAATCACTTCCATTTGAATTGGCTTAGGAAGCTTCTGAAGATCACTTGGCAGGATCTGGGGTCCTTTCTTAAGCTAAACTGCCAAGTGTTCAAACTCTTTTGCAGAGAGCACAAGTCCTATGGGCTGGCCATGCTGTTTGAATGCCAACTGTGCATTTGCCTAAAAGGCTCTTTTATGGAGAACTTACACAAGGCACTCACATGGAGGTCAGAAAAAGAGATACAAGGACACTCTCAAGATTTCTCTTAAGAGCTTGGGAATCGATTGCATTACGTGGGAGACGCTCGCACAGGACCGCCCAGCATGGCACGCCCGATTCAGAGAAGGTGCGGTGCTTTACAAGTGAAGCAGTCACAGTGGCTGGAAAGAAACTTGAGATGTGCAAATGTGGAGACATTTCCACTCCAAACATTAAAGGACTGTTTGTGCCCAGTGTATGGAAGAGCCTCCCAAGCTAGTTTTGGTTTGATCAGCCGCAGTCAGACACACTCACTGTGCCTCGATCGCGACGTGGTGATACCATTTTGGTCCTCTGCGAGCATGAAGGATAATAATCAGTATAACTAATATTTTGAGCACTGTGGTGATAAAAGAATCCTTGCTTTACTCTTGATCTTATTGGAAAAATCCCTAACTTTTCTCATAATTTCTCCTAAACTTTCTCATAATGTTTGCTTTTGGATTTAGGGAAATACTATTTTTAAAGGAGTGGTCCAGTTATGATTTCTAGAGTATTTAATGCTGAAATGAGTGTTGGATTTTGTCAAAAGCTTTTTCAGTATCTTCTGATATAATCATATGACTTTTATTATTTGTATTATTAGCCAGATTTATTATATATTTGTAGTCTTCCTTGTTGAATCAGTTCTATATTCCTGGCATAAACCCAACTTGGACCATAGTTTCCGGTCTTTCTAATATGTATTGTAGCCTTCTAATATTTTACTTTAAAATGTTCACCTCTGTCTTCATTAGGGATAATTTGTCAGTATTTTGTTTCTCTGTTTTGTCTCTTCCTGGGTTAGGTTACAAGACCATATTTGTATTGTAGAAAGAGATTGAATGGGTGCCTTCTTCTCATCTTATTGCAGACAACTTGTGTAGTATTGAAATGAATTGTTCTTTGAATGTCTAATAGTGTTCAATTATACTTTTTAAAATACAACTGACTTTTTCTAGGAGAGAAACAGTTTTTTGTTTTTGCTGGTTTCTTTCTTTACAGGCATATAGAGAGCTAGAAAGGATACTTAGAGATGTCCAGAGAACATCTAGGCTAGCCTTCCTCATTTTATATATGAGTAGCAGTAAATCAATATTTATCAGGAAGGGGAAATGACAGCTCATTGTCACACAATAACCAGTCTCTGTGTTGAGGATTTAAACTTAGCTCCTGTGGCTTCAAATCCATTGTGTTTTTTATTCCATTATACAATACTGCCTGTTTACCCCAATCCTTTTTTTAAAAAAAATGGTATAGAAACAGCTTTGAAAAATTTTTTTATTGATACTGTGTATTAAGCTATGATTTTCACTTTTATAAACATTAATATTAATGGGAATATATTAATGTAACCACATTTTTTTTCTTCTCATTTTGGGGAAAAATAGTCCCTCAGACAGTTTGGCGAATAAATTTGGATGTCCCGGAGGAAGCGAACCAGAATCATTCCTTTAATTCTTCTGAACGATGGTGGGAGCAGACAGATTTGACTAAACTAATCATATCCAACAATAAACTTCAGTCACTTTCAGATGACCTCAGGCTTCTTCCTGCACTGACTATACTTGATGTAAGTTGATTGACTATACTTGATTGAAATATAATCTGAAACTGTAAGAAGAAAATGCAGCTCCACTTAGATCCTGACAGGGAAGTAGGAGAGGAAAAGGTTTCCATTTCCTGTCAGCAGAATGCCAGGAGCGAATGCCAGGTTAAGTCACAGTTCTGTATTTTAAACAGCCTGGAACCTCCCAGCTGGTTGTGATTTCATGTTGAGGGCTACTCCCTTAGCAGTGCAAAATGCTGCTCTGCTCCATCTTCTACTTGGTCACGCTTGCCCTTGTCCCTCCTCTTTAGAGCGTTCACCCATCATGATAGAGACTTCTTTTCAGAGAGTCTAATTCTGTAGTAACCTCAGAGGTCATGGTTTTTATTACTGTTGTTATATTCTGGATTTATTTCGTACAGCATAGTATTTTAGGCATCTAAGCATGATCCTTTTGACGTAGAGAACTGATCGCTTTTGCAATGTGACAGAAGAATATTTTTGCTTTTACTCTGGTCTTCAATTAAAATATTAGGCCTTAAAGTTAACTGAATTGTCCTGTTCTTTCTGAGACCAGGTTTTTAATTTTGAGATGCCGTATTTTCTAGCTCGTTGAATCCGAAAGAGTATCAGCCTATTCTTTTCCTTGCATATTTTCACTGTAGCATTGAAAATTCTTCCAAGAAAATCTGGAACAAATGGGTAGGGATTTGCATGAGAGGCTCTATGGTAGTTTGTGGGGCCTGTGCTCAAACTGAAAGAGAAGTTGAGAGAAGAGCCTTCTCTCCTCTCCTGCCATTTTGCAGTTGATCAGCTTGTTGCTTCTGCCAGGAGAGTAGGGTTGTGGATTGCAAGTCCACATGTCTCATTTTCACTTTGGTTTTGAAGCGCTCCCCTTCTCTCTGAAAGCTGGACTGAGACTTGAAACAGGCCTCCTCCTGTCTGGCTTCAAGAGCAGAGGTTTGGTCAGCTTCGAGGAGCCTTCAGCCTCCACATATGATTTCTGATTAACAGCCTCATTTACCGACACTAAATTCATAAGGGAGTTGAGGGACTTAGTCACGTTGGAAAGTGCGAGAAGACGGAGTGGTGGGGGACATGGGGGGATGGAAGAAGGAACAAATGTTATTTGAGACTGAGTCTATGGCCTTGTTCTAGATGCACGATAATCTGCTGACGTCCCTTCCTTGTACCATAGGCGAGCTGGAAAATCTTCAGAAGCTTAATGTCAGGTAAAGCCAGAATGCTGTTATTTTTAATTTTGATGTTGTGGAGAAGAATTTGAAATCGCTTTTTTATTAATTTTCTGAGTAATAAAAAAAAGAGAGAGTGGGTGGTACAGTGGAAACAAGGCTGGTGTTAACCCAAGGAAGACCTGGGGTTCAAGTCCTATCCCGGTCACTTGCTTTGATCATGGGGAACCCTCTGTTTTCTGGTTAACTTCCCAAAAGAGTAAGTTGTAGTTACATTGACCATCAGCGTGGAGTTTGCATACTGCGTGTTCCCTTTGTGTGTGAAATCATAGGTGCGGCTCAGGAAGAAAAAAATCCATATATACACATATAAGTGTAGAGAGAGACAGAGCCAGACAAAGAGAGCCTGGATTCAACGTCTGCTTCTGCCGCTACTTAATGTCTCTGAGATTTGGGCGATTCATAGAACTTCTTTTCATTTCAGATTCGTTACCTGTAAGTTAAGGTGTTGAACTAGTTGCCCTCTGAAGCGCTTTCCAGGTTTAAATCTTCGATCCTATGAAGTCACATCATTCTATTTGTCATTTATTGATTAACAGCAAACTCACATTTATTAAGCACTGCCTATTCTTTGGTAGGTGCTCTGAAAGCAATAACAATAATAGCTTAATGACATTTCTGTAGATGTATAACAATTTCAGTTTTGAAACCAAAGAATAAATTTTTTCCCACTATTCAACTTACCTGAATTCTTTCTTGGCTGATTATAAATTTAACCCCATCATGAAGATGATTTTATTGGTGCCAAACTTTTATTTAGATACTGGTTTTTGGTTGGTTGAATACTAAATTCACCGACCATAATTTAGTCAGTCTACTCTGGTCTGACTTGATTTGATTTTGTTCATATATCTAAATTCCTTTTCAAGTCGTGTTAATTCTGCCTTCACAATATCCTTTATATCTGTCCTTTCTGTGCTGTTTCCCACTGTAATCTCCCTTCTAGCCCCCTCTCCTTTCTCCTCTATTCAAAATTTAGTAACTCTTCGCCGGGCAATTCATTCAAGAAACATCAGTTATTGGTCTATTTTGCTAGATATTAGAGGAGATAGGTAATATTCCTGCCCTTGTGGAATATGTGGTCTCCTAGGAGGACAAAATGATAACCCTTTATAAGTGTTTACTATGTGATTGGCACTATACTAAGTGCTTGGGATACTACGAAAAGCAAAAACACAGTTTAATTGTAGAGACCCTATACAAAAGAACTCTGCACATGCAAAATACACACACACACACACACACACACACACACACACACACACACGCTGTAAATGGGAGGTAATCTCAGAAGGCACTAGCTGTGCAGGGAGCTAGGGAAGGTTTCCAGTGGAAGGTAGAATCTGAGCGCTGAGGCTTAAAGACAGGCCACGGAAGCCAGGAGGCAGAGGGGATGGCCAAGGCTGAGGCACAATGTGGGGAGAGAGAATGTTGTGTGTGAGAATTAGCACACAGGCTAGTGTGCCTGAACGCTCGAGGACATGGAGGAGAAGAAAGAGGAAGAAGACAGACCAGGTAGGAGGGGGTGAGGCTGTGAAGGCCTGGAACAGCAAACAGCATTTTCTCTTTGATCCTCGAGGCAATAGTGACCCTAGACTGTAGCTGATCCCAAAAGGTCTGTATGGCATGATCTGACCTGCACTTTAGAAAAACCACTTTGGGAGCTAGAGAAGGGAGAGATTTGAGGCGGGCAGACCCCTAGCAGCTGTTGCAGTAATTTAGGGTGTGAGGTCCACACCAGGAGGGAGGCAGTGTCAGAGGAGAGGAGATGTGCTGGAGAGATGTGAAAGCAGAAAACCCACATTGGTAAGGAGCCAGCACATAGAGGTGGAGAGTGAAGACATGAAGGGGGGCATGCCTTGGGAAGGAGAAGGGCTGCCTCTTCACGTGAGACGGGTAACTCGGGGGAAGTTTTCAACGAGGTAAGGTCCTCAGATTAGGGGGCCAGGGAAAGGGTGGCTATTGGAGACTCGAGGGAAGACACTTTTGGAAGAGCTGCTGTGGGGAGTGGGACAGCAGACCAGAGACGTATTTAGAGATTGCTGTGCCACATCGAGGGCCCAGCTGTTGTGGTCTGATGGTCAGCCGTGCTTTGTGAATCTTCTCCAGGTCTGTTAAGCAGACTGTGACTGGGAGAACAAGTCAGATAACTTTAATCTTAAAGGATGGATGCCAGGCAGCTCGGGAGATCCTGGAGAGGAAGGCATTCTTAGCCAGTGAGAGGCTAAGGGGTCCTTGAGTTGTCCTTTAAAAGGCAGGTGAGCATCTAGCAGGTCAGGGGCAGGGATGGTCAGCCCCCACCCATAGGCCACTGCCCGAGCAGAGGCTTTCCTAGGCATACCTTGCATGGAGGGGAGCAGTGGGGATGAAAGCAGGCAAAATAGGTGGGTTCCCAAATGCGAAAGGCCTTAAGCTTTGCTGTAAGGAAAAGAGCGGCTGAGGATTTTTGAAGAGAGGAGAGAGTTCTATCGCAGGTTCTCTGCTAAAGAAAGGTTATTTTGACACAGGTTTGAAGGCTAGATGGGGCTGCGAAAAGAATGGACAGGTGATGGCCCATAAGGAGACAGTTGCAATACTAAGAGCATCTATTTTTGCACATCTCTTTAAGATTTGCAGAGCACTTCATGTGTCTGAGCTCATTTGGTCCTCACAACTGCCCTGGGGGGAGGTGCTGTTATTCTTATTTTACGGATGAGAAAACTGAGACTCAGAGAGGTTCAATAACTTGCCCACCCAGGGTCCTCGTCATAGTCTGAGGCAGGAGTTGAACTCAGCTCCTCTGCCTCTCTCCAACTTCCCTCACTGGCAGTAGTACAGAAGAGGAATTGGATGTGAGAGATTTTAAGCAGGGGGCATTGCCTGAACTTGGTCATTTATTGGATGTGATTGGTGAAGGGGAAAGAAGAGTCAAAAGGAAGCTGACCATTAGAAAGAGGGGGTGAATGGGAGAGCCGAGGGCAGAGATGACCAAGGCTGAAGGAGCCCCAAGTTCAGGTTCTGTCTGGTCTGGCCGCCTCGTCTTCTCCTTTGTCCTTCACAGAAGAGCTCCTCATATAAGCAGCCCATCCCCCAAGTAGCTGGCGCCCAGACTTGTAGGGGCTTGCCACTGTTTACCAAATAAAACACAGCCTCCTTAATTGAAAAGGTTCAGCCCTCCAAATTCTTATTCCCATTTAACTTTCCAAATGTATTGCATACTATTTCCTTTCATGCATTCTGCTTTTAGGAGATTAGAGCCTTTGACTTTTTCTTTGATCTCTTGTCCTATTGCCTCCATGCCTTTGTTAGAATAGTTCTTCCCGGGATTCCAAGCTCACTTCCTCCTTAAAGTCTGGCCTGAACTCAGATCCCTTAAATTGCTCTCTGCAATGCATTTTCTATGCGTTTAATTGTACTACAACTTGTATTATACCGATATTCTTTCCTTTATAGATTATAAACTCCTTAAGATCCAGTTTATTTGTGAATGGACCATGTAAAATGAGCTGGAGCTTCTCCCCCCTAAACAGTCATTGGCTCTGGGTCTGCTGCAGGAGGCCGAGCTGGAATGATGGGAGGGTGAGGAGGCATAAAGAAACTGAGCATTTGCCAGAATTCTGTAAACTGGACGGCTGTACATTTGAGATTTTTGCATTTAAAAAAACAAAACTCCTTACAAAGGATATTAAAAGATAGTTCACAATTTTTTTTTTTTTTAGGCAATTGGGGTTAAGTGACTTGCCCGTGGTCACATAGCTAGTAAGCGTCAAGCGTTTGGTCTGAGGCCGAATTTGAACTCAGGTACTCCTGACTTCAGGGCCGGCGCTCTATCCACTGTGCCACCTAGCTGCCCCCCACAAATAATTTTTGTGAAAGAATTTCCTTTTCTCCTTTGAAATGTCTAAAAGGTCACTTATTACTGTCTTTTCATAAGTGCACAGTGTTGTGAAAGAAAATAGAATCACATTTAAAATAATAACTAATAAAGTTTTAATAAGGCCATGTAGTTGGCTAACAGAAATGGCTACAAAACTTTATTATGTTTTCTAATGTTTTTATTTAAATTGTTTAGCATTTCATTTTATCTATCAATAGTCACAACAAACTGAAAATACTGCCTGAAGAACTTACAAAACTAAGAAACCTGAAGGGCCTGTTTCTGCAGTACAATGAGCTGACCAGCGTCCCCGATGGATTTGGCCAGTTGCACAGATTGGAGGAGTTAGTAAGTCGGGCTCTTCTAACCCTGATGTGCTTTTTACTTGAAAAACTTTGATCAGCCTCTAGGGTCCTGCAGAGTAGTCCTCTGTGATCCTTGTTTCAGACCAAAGCCCTCAACCTCCTTCGCCATCTTTACCAACCAGGGTGCAAGATGAGATGTAGGAGGAAGGTCTGGGAGACAAGAAAACCCAGCAGACTCACACAGTCTGATTGAGTTTTACTCTCGGCCTCTGAAGGTAGCGCCGGAGACACAAAGAGAGCTTGAGACTTTAGCAGGAGAGCAAAGGCCAGATCCGGTTCTGATCCTGCCTGCTGACTTTCCATCTGTCAAATGAAGGGGTTGGACTCTGGGCCTTCTAGCCCCGAAAGGTCATTTCTGACTCCACATCCATGATCCTAGGTTTAGAGGTGTCCTTAGCATTTGCACGGAGGTACATTTTTGGAATTCATGCCTCTGGGGGACTGTCACCAAGTAGTCTCATAATTTTCAAAGGAACAGTGTTTAATTGTTGGAGAATCTTACTAAGGACTCAGCATTGGGGGAAAAAAATCAGAAATGACCAACAATATGTAAGCAAAGAAAAAGACAGACAAATTATAAAACGCTATACTAACTCAAAATAAACAACAAATATGTTTCAATCCTGTTAGATCAGTGGCCCTGTTGTGGTGGCATGTCTTTGTATTGACGTAAAAATGACAACCCCATCTTATAGAAGTTTGAGCTAAGTGAGGCATTAGGTAAAATCTCAGATCTTGAGTTAGCCACCATTGTGTTTACTGCCTGAGAATAGAACTGACTATTATGTTGAAATTATTGAGGAATGGTGGGAAAAGCTCCCCACAAAGGTTTTTATTAATGATTGCTAAGGCAATCATTATTTTATTAATTTTATTTTAATTATTTATTTTATTAATGATTGCTAAGGACCATTCCACAAACCTTTGATCTTCAAGTTGAGCACCAAGTGTTTTAATATGTGCTCATGGAATAGTTTTGGCTCGTTAATTGTGGTATTTCTCTTGCTGCGAGCCCTTTTTTAAAACTGTCTTTTAAAACCAGACTTAGCCAGCATCTGTCACGGGCAACCTCTTCTACTTCCTCCAGGGGTAGATTTTAATTAGGAAGCAAAGGAAAGCCCGTGAGGAAAGTGGCGCTTAATCTACTTGTTCCGCTCCTTTGGTGCCACCAGACATTCAGTACTTAGTTATTAATGTAGCACTGAATTGAAGAGATCATAAAAATAATGACCAGCACGTGAGCACTAAAAAGGAGCATTAAAACATCTCTCACCATATTGCTAAGACTGTAACCTAGCAATCGGGTCACCTGGAATGACACAGGCATCGAGGAGAGAGGATGTTTGAATCAGTTAGGCAGCCTTGCCTCTGTGGAAGGCGAGAATTGGTCAACACTCTACATGGGCCTTTCTTTCACCTTCCACTTCCAGTTGTGAAAGTCTAAAGCCAACCCTTTGGTCGACTCATGGAACTCTCCCGGTAAATCTGTAAAGGGTTCTTTTCGGGTCCATCCAAATTTAAGAACTTCCAGTGCAGTAGAGGCATTCAGCATTTCCAGAAAGGAATCTCTAGACTCTGAGAGTAAAGTGATATGGCAGGTCTTGATTTCTGTCTGTTTTCTACTACAGTGAAAGCCTTGATGATCCCAAAAGGCAAAATGAAGTGTTAACATTGGATTTATATAAACACCTGGTGAAAATGCAGAAAACTCTTCCCTAGTGAAATCGTTCTTTCCCAGAATATACTTTGCACTGCCCACAAGGATCTTAAAACTGCATGCGAAAGTACCTTGGGAGGGACCGTTTCTTAATTCTGTTTTTACTTTTTCAAAAGGATCTCTCCAACAACCGCCTCACAGCTGTTCCCGCTAGCTTTTCTTCTCTCTCTAACCTGATGCGGCTCAACCTTGCCGGCAATCAAATGAAGGACTTGCCAGCAGAAATCACTGGGATGAAAAGTAAACTTACTCGGTGTTCAAATATTTAAAATTTATTGTAGTATTTCATATATCTAAAATAAAATATTTTGTTGTAGTTGGAGATGGACAAGTATAATAATGGGTTTGAAGGTGCTAAGTGTTGCTTACCCCAAGGCGTCAGTCTTGATCCAGGAGCCCTGTTTTCGTAGGTAATAATGCACTTTGGTATTTGGCAGCTTGAGGTAGAAAATGTAAAGCTGTCAAGAAGTCAGCTTTGCAAAACTAAAAAAAGCAAAATAAAATAATGGGCATTGTCCAGCTGTAGAGCTGAGCAACTGATTGGTTTTGTGATGTTTGATCTAACTCTGTGTCTAATCTGCATGAGGTAAGAGGTAGGGAATCACAGCTGCTGCCGTACAGCTTTCCCTGCAGAAGGCTCTAGGAAGAAGCGTCTTTGGCCGGAATTCCTACAAGGTGGTCTTCTGCCGGAGCCCAGATTTTTCACACTTAAAAATGTTTGCACCTGAAAAGAGAAACAATATAATTTTTACATTTAAAAAGATACACAATATAGCTCTTTAATAAAACAGTTAAATACCCCACCAGGGTAAGCATTAAGATAGCCTTGTGGTGGCATTGTTGTGGGCGCCATGGGGGTGTTGAAAGCTCTGCCAGCAGGATGCTTCAGCCTGGGAAGGCTTTGTGCTCAGGCCCAAGACGTGCTCTGCTGTCATCAAGGACTGGCAGGCTTAGCAGTCTAAGTAAGGCCACTGGGGAATGACTTGTTTTAGCCACAGCAACTCACAGAGACTCTTTCCTAAGACAAAGAAGGGTTGCAACTCAGTCTGTTGGTGGAGAGAGTTCCTACATCAGCTAAATCACAGGTCCTTGAAGTAAGTATTTTTAAAACTATATTTTAGCGTCAGTTTTTAAAGACAAAAAAGTATAGTATGATACCTTTCTCTTTAATCTTTATATTTTATAATTTTACCCAGAATTTTAAAATTGGAATAAAAAGCCTTTCCAGTGCGTGGTCCTTAACTTTACAGCTGGCTTGACCCCAAAATGTCAGTGACTCGCTTATTTCTTGGCCACTAGCTCCTCTGTGTCAACCACAGGCTATGCTTTTACCTAGGCAATTTGAACTCATCATTCAGGAAAGGGTGCAGCAGAAGAGAAAAATAAAGTTATTTAAATTATTTTGACAGTTTACCTCTTTACCTCACCCCGTTCCCATCGTCTCCAGTCACAGGTTTCTTTGCTAGTCTGCCTCTTCGTTTTCATATTTTTTTGAAAATTCGCTCTCCACATTGTTACTTTTTCCATTTACTCTGTAGCTGGGAGCTGGTGTAAAATGTATGACACATAGGAATTTACTTGGGTGCAACTTGGTTGCAAGCTGGGTCTTAGAGACAGATTCCCGAAGCTCTTTTCTTGAAAGGCTGACAGTTTCAACTTTCTCCTCCACAAAAATTTTTGAATGCTAATGAATGTAAGAAAAGCTGGGTCATCAACCTTTAAGTAACAAGACATTCAGGGCAATCTAAAGCCTCAGGAAAAGGAATCATTTTCTGAGGGTGGTTTTTTTTTTTTTTTTTCTGACTTTTAAAATAATAACAGTCTCAGTTGGTTAGAGCCTGGTAATGATGCTAAGGTTGTCGGTTCATATCCCCACAGGCTGAGCTGTCATTATATGTAACGAGGAGATGCTGTCGCTTCCATAGAATTGCTACTCACCCGCACTAATATTTCTAAAAGCTGAACAAAGTCATGAGGGGAGGCTCTTCAGAATTCCTAAATAGGTCATCATGCTGCTAATGTCTCCTTTCTTTACTTAACCACTCTTGTCCACTGGGGGGAAAGCTGAAAGGCCATTCCCCCCCCCCCATTTACATGTGTTTATTTCCTTAAATATATTTTAACTTAAGAAAATGATAAATGATAGTGAGTAAAAATACCTTATATATGTGTATCATTTTATATTTGGTATTTTCATGTACATTATTTCTGTGGAACACATGTTAACTCTAAAATTTTAGTAGATAATGTATTAAAAGTATTTTGATAGTCAACCTAAATTTATATAAGTCCATTTTTGGGGGGGTGGTAGTGTAATTCATTATAAGAATATATTTTGTTAAAGTTTCACAAATCTTCATGCTGAATTTGTTATTCGTTGTTAACAAAAGTATTTGAATTGGCAAGTTTTGATCTTTAAAAAAAATAATAGTTTTTCACCAAATTATTTCTATAGGATTAAAGCATTTGGATTGCACTTCAAACTGCTTGGAAACTATACCTTCTGAATTAGCTAGCATGGAGTCACTAGAACTGCTCTATTTACGGAGAAATAAACTACGTTTTCTACCGGAATTTCCTTCTTGTATATCATTGAAGGTACCATCTGCTGTTCAATATAAAACATATTACTTTTAAAAATACTATTTAGGTAATAGAATATGTATTGCTATATAGTCACCTTTAAAAGAGGATTTTTTTCAAGAGCTGTAGTAAAATTAGTGTCACAAATATTAGTGTTGATAAATACTTTTTAAGTAGAAGAAAATAATTTTTAAAGTAATGATCTGTCTTGTTTCATCCATTGGTAAACAGGTCTTTTAAGAAATACTGGAAAAAAAATTTTTTTGGTGAAATTAGCTAGTGTTAAAATCACTTTACAATTTGTAATATTTTGCTTTCTGATTATGAGGTTATATTAATGTAATTACTTCCAATCATGGAAGCTCGGAGTTGGAAGGGCTTTCAGAGGTTTTGTCCAACCTAAACAACATTACAAAGAACTGGAAATCTTAAGTTTTCTTTCAAGCTGTTTATGATGAGGAACTCACTATTTCCCATGTGGGGTCTAAAGTCTACTTGTCTTTGGCTTTTAGCTCTCTGCTCTGAAACCAAGTAATGACAAACCTAATTTCATTAAATGGGTTTTAATTTCAATAATAACAGTGACAAGAGTCACTGAGCAATATATATCATTTAAATGTTAATGAACTTAGTGGGACGCTGTCAATCTCAAATCCCAGTCGCTAAAAAAGCTTTCTTGTTTTGATATCCTATGGTGAAAGACTTCTTTCACTAAAAAACACATTTTCTTATGGCCTGGGCTGCTGGTATCTTAAAGATGCCAGGAGAAAGTGAGGAAGGTCCCAGGTTTTGGGGAGATTATGCACAGGAGTCACCCAGAATGGACAGACAGGATTGGCTTATGAGCTCATCCCTCCCTCCGTAGAGGGAAGAGCCAAACTGAGTTCCCATAGTCTTTGAGTACTTACTACAGGTAAGCATTTTGGTAGGCGGACACTCGAATTGCAGTTCAAGAGATCTGGACTCCTGCGTTCAGAGTGCCTAGTCAGTCAGCACCAGCTAAGCTGTAGGCACTGATTCTAGTCCAGGCTCTGCCACTAGATTTTTGTTTTTTGTTTTAATCTTGTGAAAAGCCTTAACCTTTGTTGGCACAGGTCCCCTTCTAACACTCCACATCTGTGAATCTAGTTTATTGAATTAATGGCTGCTCTACCACCTCCCCTTTTATATATCTTGGCTGAATTATTTTTTTTTTTTTTACTTTATTTCTCAGAGTTTGAAATAATTCCCTATAGAAGCTTTGTAATAATTTTAAAATGATAGCAAAATCTCTGAAAAGTTTTCCTCTGGGGATTTTTGTTCAGCTATGAAAAAAAGCTTGTTTTCATTTTACTGAAAACTCAAGCAAATTAACAATAGAAAAGTTATGTTTCTTATCACTAATTTGAATTTTATTCTGTGAATGACTTGAATTTGTTTGCCTCTAATTGATATTTCATCCTGTAGGTGATGAATAAATTACATTTACTAAGAACAGCAGAAGTGTGAATAACTTTGATCTTTGCTGCTTGTAGGAATTGCATGTTGGTGAGAATCAGATTGAAATGTTAGGGGCCGAGCATCTTAAACATCTTAAATCTATCCATGTGCTAGACCTAAGAGATAACAAGTTAAAATCTATTCCTGATGAAATCACCCTGCTCCAGGCCTTGGAAAGACTTGATCTAACCAACAATGATATCAGTAGGTAAGCTGGAAAAAAAAACAAAACCAAAAACCAAACTAATCCACAAATAATATGGAGATAAAACATAGAAAATAGTGTCTGTATTGTTCAGAGAATTATAAACAAGTAGTTCAAAGTCCACAAATAGAAATTTTTCTCAGTGATTTAAGTTGTATAGGACATTATAGTTAAATCTAAAATTATTTTGAAGCCTTTGAAGTGACTTCTGATGCTACTTCTTTTTTCTATTTATTTGCATTTTAGGGGGATGTGAGAACTAGATTGTCTTTTAAAATGTATTATAATTAAGGCCCATAGAATAGAGGCACGTGGGCTAGAGGATAAAGAGCTGGGCCCCAACTCAAGAAAACCTGGGTTCAGGTTTGGCCTCTGACACCCCCTGGCACTGGGCCTTGTAGCAGGCTTTTCTTCCTCTCCACCATCTAGGCCACTCTCCAAACAGGCTGTTCTGCTACACAGAGAGGTGCTGCCCTGCCCTGGCAGAGGAGTAGGCTACCCAGGGAGTTCCTAGGCTAATGAAATGACAGGTTTTATGCCTAGCCCTTCATTAGGGAAGGAGAAAAAATGGGCATTCACCACTTGCTGTATGTAGTCTACTATCAGATATTCTGCCGCTACCACAGCTTGTAGAAATAGACAATTCATACGGTTGTGTATTGACTTGAAAAAAAGAACATGTTCTGTGTTATATTCTTGTTATATGCATATGACTTTGTCTAATAGCAGTGAAGCTTGTTTTCCTGCCTCTTATACGAAACCCTCTTGAAAATCAGCTGGTCATTTGCTCTTAAAAATGGACTTTAGAGTTTTCTTGCCTCCTCCAAAGTTTCCTGTGTGTCATTTCTCCCTCCCTGACCCTCTTCCCCCTTTCCATAGATACGTCCAAGTTATTTAGTAAAAACAAAAATACACAGCAATAAGGAAAGCTAACCCCAGTCTGCAGGTTAATTGTTCATACCCAGGTGTTGGGGCTGTCCTCCAGAGCTTTGGTCAGCCAGCACACTGCAGCTGCTCAGTAAATATTCAGGTTAACTCTTGGGGTTTTTGAGAGGAATCCTTTTTCTTTAAATTAATGAATGCATCTGAGTAGGGCTCTCGGAGAAATCTTTGTATTTAATTTGTATTATGTCTTCTGCTACAAATGCTTTTTTATTTAGTGGGACTATGGTGCCTTTTTTGGTATTCACAATATAAGCCTGAGATATGACCATTTAGGAGTGATGAATCGTTCAAACCTGGCTTTTCAAACAAATATTTATTTTACTTTTACAATGCAATAAATATTAAATAATAGTAGTAAAATTTCTCAAAGCTCATTCTTTTTACCTCACTCAAGACTGTTAAGCAAATTTTTCCTATTTTAAAGTTAAACTTTCATTTGAAGAGGAAATATCATAGGCCAGACTTACTTTGTCCTACTGCAGGCATGTTAGCTTTAATAGACCATTCACTGTCTTGTGAGTTTTGTAGCCATCTGTCTAGGTGAGTAATAGATATAGTGTGTGTGTGTGTGTGTGTGTGTGTGTGTGGTGTGGGTGTGTGCTCGTGTGCTGTTGTCTGTGTGTGTGTGTGTGTGTGTGTGTTTTGAACCATACTTAGAGGGTTTTATCTTGTTTTTGATAGTCTTCCCCATACGTTAGGAAACCTTCCTCGTTTGCAGTTTTTGGCATTAGAGGGAAACCCTTTGAGAACTATTCGGCGAGAACTCCTAAATGTAAGTGTATTTTGAATTCAAGTTTTTATTTCATTTATTGCACATTCAGACATTCATGTGGATCTTATTTTAAACTGCAGTGGTCTCTGTCAGTGATGGTTTTGTTTTCTCCTCCATTTAGAAAGGGACCCAAGAAGTCCTCAAGTATTTAAGAAGCAAAATTAAAGGTATCATCTTATTTCCTTCTGTATTTTCATGCAAGGAAAGTAGCAGCCAAAGCTTTGAGATTAAATTAACTTAATTATACTACTTGTAATCATAATTAATTGGAATTAAACCTCTGGAAAACCAGAATCTGGTCCTAAATCGTTAGAGGAAGTATGCTTTTATCTTAGACCAGGAATCCTTAATCTGGAGTTGGTGAACTTTTTTTTTTTAAAATACGTCCATAACTGCTTTTTAGTATAATTAGTATCCTTTGTAATCTTATGTAATTCATGTTATGCATTTAAAAACATTCTGAGAACAGGTCCTTGCGCCTCCCCAGCTTGCGCCTGGTGTCCATGCTCCAAGAAAGGGAATGAAGCTGTGTCACAGACCATGTTTAGACTCACTCTAGGAATTAAATTTTTAATCTCTTTTGATTTACGCTATTTTCCATAGCATGTAAAAAATGTGGCGGTCAAAAAAATCCTTACTAGCCCCAGGCTCCCTGCAGGAGTTTGTGCTTAGTAAGGGCCAAGCACCTTCCCAAAAGATAAGAAGTCCCCTTAATCCTGTGGTGTTCTAGCACAGTGCAAATGTGAAATAGTTTTCTTTTCAAATCTTATATTTAAATGGGGCTGCTTCAAATAGTTGTCTCTTTAAATTTTTAACTTGTACCTTTGTTTGAATTGACTAGTTGTTTTGATGCTGTACAGATACTCCTCAAGTTAAGTTTGGGTTCAAAATTATTTTTTTCCAGACTGAGCCATTCAGGACGTTATAGTGGGTAGTATACCTTGATTCAAGCCCTTCTTTCTTAGCTCTGTGACTCTCATCTGTGGTGGTGGTGGTCAGTTGTTTCAGTGATATCCGACTCTTCGTGACCCCATTTGGGGTTTTTTGGCACAGATACTGGAGTGGTTGGCCATTTCCTTCTCTAGTTCATTTTGCAGATGAGGAAATTGAGGCAAACAGGGTGAAGTGACTTGCCCAGGGTCACATAGCTAGGGAGTGTCTGAGGCTGCATTTGAACTCAGGTTCTCCTGACTCCAGGCCCTGCACCACCCAACTCTGTACATGATGATAAAACAAGCCCCTCTCTACTGGGGAAGGGATATTGTGACACCGAGGAAGGAGATAACTTGAAACCAGCTCTGAAGAGGACACGTCTGTCCTTTGTGCTTATGTCCAAGCATAATTATTTCAAAAATATTTTTATTAAATCCCTTGGATTCATCCAAGTTATTGTACTTTGAAGCAATGCTCTGTCCTGCCAAGCGTAGAAAAGGGGTGGGATTGTACAGCACGCGTGGCACAGCGCAGCCTGCAGGGGGAGACCGGTGGTGGACCCCGCACCTGGCTCTCCGGGCCTGCACCTCTGGGGCTCTTCTGCCTGCTCACCGTGGGAGCTTGAGTGCCTCCGTTTCCTGCTCTGGCTTCTCCTCCTTTGTGGCATCAGATGGGAAGAGGCTGGCCGAGGCGATTTCTGGGATCCCTTCCAGCTTGCAGACGCTGTGACTTAGACTAGAATTGACTCGTTATGTCACGTAGGCAAGACGTGACCAGCTGCGCCAAGCTGGGGTGTTATCCCCAAACTGTGAGCTGTGTAACTGAATCTAGAGTAATTTTAGATTTGAGCAGCGTATTTATCAATAGCCATCTTGAGTTATCCTTTGTGTGGACGTGGAGGAAGAAAATGTGACGTTGTAGCAACTGTGTTGTAGGACAGGGCTGGATTGGGCCGTCCTCCCCGACAAGTGCAGACTTCCTTTATTTTTGCCCTTTTGAAGTCAGGTTCATTTGCTAGGCTATTTGTAATGTGATAAGCAGCAAATTTGTTGCTTTTAGCAGGAATATTGCTCACCTTTTTGCTTTGGAGACATTTGGAATGCCTGGAGAAAACCTTTTAAAGAAATAGAGTACATGATATTATGTCTGGTTCTACATGCCACCATTGTTACTTATGGTGTTATGAATAAGTAGCCTTCCTTTTAGGTGGTACGTGTTTTTAAATAGGTCATTTTGCAATTTACCACTCTTTAAAGCTGTAATCTTTTTCATATCACAACAGTTTGTAGTATTTTTATAAGAAAGAGTCACATTTTTTCCTTCCCCCTTGGTACATTTTTTCCTGCTCATTTTCTAGAAAGAAAGACCTTTATATCATATTGAATATTTTCATTACAATTTTTTTTTTTTTAGTTATAATCATGGGGATGAAATTTAGTTGTAAAAGTAATTGGTCGTTTTCCATTTTCTTCTGCAAAATAAATTGGGAAAATAATTACATTGGACATTTATTCGCAATGCTGCCTATTCAAGTATTCCTTGTTCTTTGTTTGAATAACAAAAATAGCAAAATACAAATGAATTTGATGTAAGGTCCCAGTCTGGCGGTGTGGTAGGTTGTGTGCCAGAATGAGAATCAGTTGGGAAGAGTTCTAATCTTGATGTTGCCACTTAACTGGTCTTAATGCCTTGGGAAAGACCCTTTACTTCTCCAACTCCCAATTTCCCATCTCTAAAATGGGAATAATATTTGCTTTGCCATCTCTTGTTGTAAGGCTTCTGGGAAATAAGGAATGTGTGATTCTTCCTACTTTCACAGCCAGACTCTGAAAAAAATCTGTCCATTCTTGTGCACCTACTTCTTTTCCTCTCCTTTTTCAGTCCTTTACAGTCTGACTTCCAATCTTACCATTTAACTGAAACTGTCTTCTCCACAGTTAACAGTTATCTCTTAAATGCCGAATGCAGTGGGTGTTTCTCAGGCCTCATCCTTCTTGACCTCCCTGCAGCATTTGGTGCTATTGGCCTACCCTCTTCCCCAGACACTCTCTCTCCTGTTGGTTTTTGTAATTCTTTTTTTTTCCTCTTGGTTCTCTCCCCACCTGTCAGTCCACTGTTTGTTAGAGCATCATTTATATCATACCCCAATCTCTCTCCTGGCTCTTTTTGTCTCCATTCTCTTTTTTGTGGCTGCATCAACTCCCTTGAATTTAATGATGACTCCTATGTCTGTGTATTCAGGCTCTTCTAAGCTCTAGTCCTTTATAACGAATTTCTGATTGGCCTTTCTGAAGTAGGTGTTCCATAACCATTTCAGTCTCAACATGTCCAAAATAACTCATTCTCTCTCTCCTTAACTCCCCCCTCTCCTGAATTTCCATATTTCTGTTGAGGGCACCACCACCCTTCCAGGCAGCCAGGCCCACGGTCTCATAGTCACTTCCAGCTCTCCATCCCACATAGCCAATCTCTTGTCAAGTTTTGTCAGTTCTATCTTCGAAGCATTGCTTCATTTTGTAACCTCATCTGTATGTACTATTTTAAGCCCTAGTCACCTTTCACCTATAGTATTGTTATAGCCTCTTAATTGTCTCTTCCTCCAATTTAAGTGTCCCCAGTCTATTTTCTGCAAAGCTCCTGCAGTGATTTACTTAAAACACACTTCTGACAACATTATTCCTCTATTCACTCAGCTTCACTGTTCTCTTCTTACCCTCTAGAGTCAAATATAAACTCCTCTGTTTGACATGTAAAGCTCATCATAAAACGTGGTTCCCAACCTACATTTACACTGTATTATACATGAACTCCCCTTTATGCACTCTGTAATTTAGCCATAGAGGCTTTTTTTTTTTTTTTTTTTTCAGATCTCAGCTATCTGTGGCCCTCTTCTGGTCAGTATTTTTATCAGCCACTTCAATGAAGACATTGATGACATGGTCACCAAATGTGTAAGTGATATGAATCTGGTAGAAATAGCTAAACATTGGGTTACAGAGTCATGACCTAATAATACTTCAGCAGTCTGGAAAGATGAATGGAAACTAGAGACAGATGTTAAGTCCTGCACCTGGATTCAACAGACCAGTTGCTCACAGGTATAAGATCTGGGGAATGTAGTGAGACAGCAGTTGGATGTGGAGAAATCCCAAGGATTTAGTGAAGTGCAAGCTCACTGTGAGTAAATGAAGTCACGAGGCAGTCAAAAATGACTGTGCTCATAAATGCAAGTGTAGTGTTCGTGAGAAGTTGGGGAGTATTTCCCCTTCACTTTGCCCAGATTAGACCCTTCTGGAGAACAGTGTCCAGCTTTTCATATCCCATTTTGGAGCGAACGTTGACAAACTGGAATACTTTGAGAAAAAGGCAAGCAGGGTGGTTAAGGGCCTTGAAAACCATGCCATGTGAAGGCATTGGATATGTTGAGCAGAAGAAAAGAATTAGGGGGCACTTGGTCGCAATTCTCAAATATTTGAAGAGTCGTGTGGAAAAGGGTTTTATGTTTTCTGTGTCTTGAAAGGCTTGAGTAGGACAAGCGGGTTGAAGTTACAAGGAGCTCCATTAGCTCCGCACTGTGCAGCACCTCCCCCTAATTAAACCTAACCAAGAGTGGAAGGAGTCTTGGGCTGGTGAGTTTCCAGTCCTGGAGATCTTCCAGCAGAGGCTGGCTGGCCATTTGTTAGGAATACGGAGGGCCCTGAGGGTTTTCAGATATAGGTCTGGAAGGGACCTTAGACACGATTGGAAGGATTTGTGTTTGGATTGGGGGGAAGAACTCGCTTTACCTCTGAGGCCCTTTCAGGCTCTGAGAGTCCGTGATTCTGTTATTTCTAAGGGCAAAAGCAACAGATGTTGTCCGTAGCTCACTCTTTTAGTTTCTTTCTACCTCATTTCTTTCTTTCCATGTTGTTTTTCCTGTTTTATTAGTTTCTTTCTTCCTTCTCTTTCTTCCCTCCATTCTGCTTTCTTCTCATTATGTTCTCACTCTTTTTATATGAATAGAATTATTCCAGCAATAATTATTTAAAACTTTTCTTTGAAGCAGAGTCATTGTCAGTGCCAGGAAGCACTTACCACTCACTGTGCTAAATCAAGTGCTGGGGCTACAAAGAAAGACTTAAGACAGTCCGTGCCCTCAGGAGCTCCCCCTCTCATAGGGAAGACAACACATGAACTGCAAAGTGGGATGGGGAGGGAGGGAAGGGTACCAGAAACATCACAGCATGGTAAAGGC